GGTTTATCTCCGTGTTGCAGTTGGTGAGACCAAAGCTCAGAGGTTAAATGTCTTGCTCGCAGCCCAGAGCAGAGACAGTAGCTGTCAAGAAACTTCTTAATGAGAAAGTCCATCTCCTGTTTTTCACAGTTTAACTGAGGCCCTAACACTTAGAGCAATCCAATTTTTATCACCCTGGCCTAGAAAGCCAGGAGCAGACCAGGGGTGGGGAACATCCTTGTCCTGTCCCCGCTTTCATGGACTTTTGCAGCTTTGTTTTGCTCAAACATCTCACTATAGTTTTGTGGGTTTTTTGGCCATTAATTGAGTATTCTTACAACACAAATTTCTAATGGTGTGTGAAGGTTTCTAACCCTTTACTCTCCATTTAGTGTAAAGTCCTGTGGAAATGGCCTCAAGTTGTGCCAGAGGAGGTTTAGATTGGGTATTAGGAAAATTTTCTGCATGGAAAGGGTTATTGAACATTGGAACAGGCTGCCCAGGGACGTCTGGAAGTCATCATCCTCGTAGGCATTTAAAACATGTGTAGATGTGGCACTTGGGAATTTGGTTTAGTTGTGGGCTTGGCCACGCTGGGGGACCAGTTGGACTCGATCTTAGAAGTCTTTTCCAACCTTAATGATTCTGTAACTCTGTGTTCAATCTGTTGTTACTGTAGGTGAGATATGTTAAAGACATGAGTGAGGCAAGTTTTATGGAATAGTTGTACTATCATACAATAGACGGAGAAAACCAGGAGAGGTATAGGCCCATGACACTCAGCAAGGTTTTGAGATACTGAAAGACCTTCCATTTTGCTTAGCCCAGGGACTGATTTTCAGACAGCCAAATTAGATAATGTGACTACTGCAGTTGGTGCATTTTAAATATTAAAAATATTCTTTCTTCAGAAGCTGTCAGACTGTTAAATTACTTCATAACTTCTGTTCAAAACTGTGTTTAAAGCCCTTGTCCTATAAGTTAACTGCTGAAGAGCTCTTACACCACTCTTCACAGATAAGATTTAGACTTGCACTGTAGTTGTTGCTCTTATCATCTTTCAGCATATGTGCTTCTTGTGAGTATATCTAAAATTTCCTGGTGTTATTTGCTTCTTGCTTGGACTAACATCTAAAATGTAGCACAATTCTCTAGCGGTAACTTCAGCACATGCCAAAAAATGTATGTTAGTAATACAAAGGAAACAACTGTCAAGACAACAGTATAAAAATTAAATTTGTGAAAATATAGTCAAAGAATAGAGAAAAATGTCATTTGACAAGCTGTATCTCGGCAAATGTCATATTGCTTTTACCTCATCTGTATGTGATAATTCCATATTCAGCAGCATCTAAGCCTTTTCAGGGACACAAACAACTAAGTGGAGTGACCCAAGTACTCCTTGATGCCTTTTCTGAAGAACAGGAACATCCAGGTAGCATTGCATCTCATCTGCTATTTCTTCTGTTCCACATCAGTAGGGGATCAGAATCTTTTGAAGTCCCTTTTAAAAGTATGAAGGTTATGCCTGGATACCCTGCAGTAACCCAGCAGGATGACTGGTGCTCCAGGGTGGCATTTCAAGTTGTAGAAGGTCCCTTCCAGCTCCTGCTGCTGCCATGCTCAAACACCAGAGCTGAATATCCAGAGCACAAAAGCCAGCTCTCTGGGGAGGCAGCTCTCTCAGAAATCTTTGATAATTAGATAATTTCTCATTAAATATTCATTGGCCCAGAAAGAAGAAGGCAAGAGAAAACATGTGCATGGAAGGGGATTTAACATCCATTTCCTTTGTTGTAAGCAGAAATGAAGCCTTGGAAAATAACCCAGAAAACACCTGAGAGTTTTCTCAAAATTATGTATCCTCCTGTGAGAGAAATGTTTTCTTATAGAATAGTGTTTTCTGAGGCAAATGTAGGTTTGTCAGGAAATTTTTACCAACCTTTGGTTTGAATTACAGTTTCTACAAATCACAGAATGACTGAACTCTCTGGGTTGGAAGGCACCTCAAAGATCATCTCATTCCATCCCTCTTGCATGGGCAGAGACACTTTCCACTAGACCAGGTTGCTCAAAGCCCCAACCTACCTAGCCTTGAACACTTCCAGGTATGTGGCAACCACAGCTTTGTCTGGGCAACCTGTGCCAGTGCCTCACCATCCTCACAGGGAAGAATTTCTTCCTAATGTCCATTCTAACCCTTCTCTCTTCAGTTTGAAGCCATTTCCCCTTGTCCTGTTACTCCATGCCCTTGTCCAAAGTCCCTCTCCAGCTTTCTTGGAGCCTTGCATCATGGCACATAGTTGTAATTGTTAAACTGAACTTCAGTCAGGGTAGAAAATCAAGATTACCAGAATTAGTCACTGATATCCTGGAACCCATCAATTCTCTTGTATTGATGCTATTGATATCTTTAATATGACAGCAATTTGACCATCAGAGACAGGATGAAACAACAGAGAGGAAAAAACAACTACCTAACGGTTTCTATATGTAGTGGTTATTTATTCAGACAGTATTAACTAAGAAATTCTGTGTAAGCAAATGTTAAAATCAAACCAGGGTTGTCTCAGAACTTCACCATCTGATAAAAGGTGAAATCCTTTATACAGATAGCAAAATGAAAAAAGGAATGCAGATTAATATCTGGGTATGGCTCACCCTCTTGTGTCCTTAACCAGAATTGCAGTTCTGCAGAAAAAATTACTTTTGCTGGTCTAAAATGGGAAGGGCAGGTGGGAAGTGGGATCAGCCCTGGTCAGGCCTCGTATATGTGACTCAAGAGCAATGGAAGACTAGGGCCTATCTTGAGGAGCAGCTGGAGGTCCAGTGGGACATCCTAGTGCATCCTGAATGGCACCAGGGTGTATCACTTTGGAAAAGTGCCAGGAGGAAAGTTGGTGGGAAGGAACCATATGAATAAAATAATCATTTATCACCTGCATACACAGACATATCAGAACCTTTGTGTTTAATATTCCAAATTAAAAAACCCCTTGGTTTATAAGTAACTTTAATTAAAAGCACTGTTTGTGAACTGGTGGTCAATGATGTGTTTATTTAGCAGAAATACATTCCATTGACAATCGACAAAAAATATCAGAAGAAAGACTAGTGACATTTAACATATTCTGAAAAAAATCCTGAAGTGTTTTAGAAGTGTGTTTCCCATTAAAAAGAAATGAAACAGTGGCAGAGGAAACCCACAAAATAACACATTAGTAACTTAAGCATGATTTCTACAAAGTCTAAAATAACATTGGGGTTATTCTGAGCTACTTATTTAGGACTGAAGTAATGGTCAGATTTCAGATAAAATTGTTACCTATTGGTCAATCTGAGCAGATGCACTGAGAGTGAACACACTTCACAGTGAGTTCTACTCTTTTATTCGGACTCTCACAGCAGCTGTAATAACATCCACTAGGACATTATATGATTTGAGTGGTGCATTTGCAGCTTGCAGGACACTTCTGCTTCATCAGAGAGTGGCCACAGCCAAACAATGTTTTCAGATTTTTGCAGTTGGCAAGGAGGTCTTGATACTTGCAAGGATTGGCTAAAATAAATGAGAGAAAACATGAAATGCTAATTGAAAACCAAGTTCTGGTCTGATACTTCTGCATTTTTCAAAAATTCCAGTTTTTCATGTCTGTGTAATCTTTGTACATTTGCTCTGCTGTTAAAATTGCTTGAATATTATAGGAAATGGAATGCAGACAGAAAGGTGGGTATCAGCCCCCTGGCTGAGGTTGGAAGGAGTTCTTGTGGTCCAATCCCTCTGCTCAAGGTTGTGCTTGTTCTGGTGGGCTATTTAACCACTGTTATTACATAGAGTGTAATGAAAGAGGCAGTTCTAGGATTCGTTGTCCAGACTAACAAGAGGTGACTATGAAAAAGTGAAATGCTACAAAGGATCAGCATGATTATCTGGGGTAGTGCAATGATTGTATTAAGAAGGAGAATACAGTCACTTACTGCAAAGCCCTTTGTCGCAGTGGCCGGGACAATCTGCACATTTTGGTCCACTTTTGTAAGGTGTAGCTATTTGCATTGCGTTATTTCCTCTGAAATTTGAAAGAAATGCAACACAAGATTAACATTCAGGTCTGAGGCATTAGTAGGAGTTTGTTATCTATTGCTGTGAAAGGCATCCAAAACTTTTTAGATACAAACATTTTCATAGGCAGTCATGTTTCATTTTCAGATATTCATAGAATACAAGAAATTTGATTCTATATAAGAAGGACAGTAAGGTTTAGAGAAAGAAAGTTAATTGATTATTTGAATTTGTATAGCATTATTGGTTAAATTTATTTTTATGTGCTTCCTAGCTCTGCTTTTCTAATGGCTTTCAAATAATTGGGACTTATAAGGCAATCATAGAACCACAGAATCATAGAATGGTTTGGTTAGAAAGGACCTTAAAGATCATCTAGTTCCAACCCCCTGCCATGGGCAGGGACACCTTCCACTAGACCAAGCTGTTCAATAACCTCAGCAGACCCTTTCTGACACACACCTGTGTGAGATGGGCTCTTTGGCACTGTGAATACTCATTTCCTGTGATCAAAGTTATAGGATGATTTGTGTCTGATGCCTGATTCTGACAGAGATATACCCTTCTCATATGTTAAATTTTCCCTAGTGCCTGTTTCAATGTGAAATAAAATAAATATTGCTATTTAACTGCTATTTATTGCTATTAAACCCACAATCCACATTGGTATTTTCAAAATTATAAATGGTTAAGGTAGACTGCAATCATTTTTATCTTATGGCAAATGGGGTGCAGGATGTTTTGGAAACATATCTATAATCCATAATCATCACATGTTAAATGAGTAAGAAGGCAATACGTACGAGGGACAGTACTGGCAAACGTAAAAGTACTTGTATGAGCTCATAGGACAGTAGGAAACTCCACATCCAACCTGGTAACTGTTGTACCAGATAAGCTGCAGAATAAAAAATAAGCACATTATTTCAGAGGTATGTTTTATTGAATTCTCATAAAAAAACCTCACAAAATAGCAGAACCAGAGGATAATTTTTTTCTTTCATTTTGTCTGTTCAGCTTGTATGTTTACAGTTTAGCTCTCAGAAAGAATACATAGAAAAATGAGCTAATAATCTCCTGTGACTTCCAAAGGTTCTAGAACAAAATTTCTGGCAGGAGACTACAGTTTAAATTCAAATGTTTTCATCACAGACATTTTGATTTGACATTTCTTATTCAAGTATTTCAATCTTTGTATAGAAAGTATTTAATCCTAAATTAAAGGTGTTTTAAAGGTATTTCTAAATTAAAATAATTTCTAAACTGAAGATATTTCTGCATAACGTTATTTCTTTTCTGGACAGCTCTTGCAAAATACTCGTTCCATTGCCTCATAATTTGATAGAAAAGAGTTTTAATTTATCATTCATCTTTGGATCAGAGTGTAAACGATAGATTATAGTTTGATGACACTGATAATTCTTTTTTCTGTTTATAAATAACTCCCAGCTGCCTTAAGTATACTCCTCTAATTCTAGCATATAATTCCAGTTTGTTTCAATTCTCCATACCTGAGTGTAGCTCTCAATATTGACATTTTTGGAGGTTGCTCCGTATCCATACTTGAAATTTGAGGACTGACTGTACCACATTTGAATTGCTTCAGCCCATGTTCTGGGGTAAGATGATAGTAACACATTCTCACCACAGGTGACACCTGAAGTATATTAAATCTGTATTATCACTTAGGAAATAAGCAAGCAATAGAGTGCAAGGTAGGACAGAGGGGTTGTAGCCATATCCTAAAAAAAAGGTCTAGGATGCCAAACTCTTTACGCTGTGATTTTAAGACAAGGACAGTAGACCTCATCTTGCACAGGAAATGTTAGTCTGATTTAGTGAGCTTTCAGACACAGATACTTAGACCACAAAATATTACACAAAAGCATCTGTACTTAGTCACACCAATAGTCATTTATGTCAGAGTCTTCTTTCCAGCAAGAGACAAAGTGTACGCTTAAGAAAGGTATGAATAGAGGCCAAGTACATACTCTCTCTCCAGTTCCATCAATTTGTCTTTCAGAGTATTTATCTGACAAAGATGATGGTTTTGAGTTTAATAATCATAAAATCATAGAATGGTTTGGGTTAGAAGGGACCTAAAAATCATCTAGTTCCACCACCCCACACACCCCCCC